CCCCCAGCAGCCCCGTGCTCCTTGGCCCCCCCGGCATAGGGGATGCGGCTGTCGGGGCCGGAGGGACCGGGAAGAGGGACTCCTGGATGAGGAGACAGGAGGCTCCAGCCGGGAGTGTAACTGCTGCGTGCGGTGCTCCTGGTGTGAGCATCAAAGGAACCCCGTCGGGAGAAAATGTTTTCGAGGAGAAACACTCCATGTGGTTTCCAGCAAAACCCACACTCTGGGCTGCTCCCCCGCTGAGAAAAATGTGTTGAAATTTGCCCTGGGACCTCTGACCCTGCGTTGATCCGGCTGAGGAGCAAATGCCGTTGTGGTTGAGCGAAGCTGCCTTGCCGAGACCTGTCCGGCTCCCTGAGGCGTCGGGCAGCTGGGGCTGGCACAGCTCTGCTCCTGGGCAGGGTTGCCCTCGGGGACCGGGTGCGGGGAGATGCTGCTCCTGGACACAGGGACACTCTAGGGCCTTTGGCAAAATCCGGTGACAGAAACAGAGCTGGGGATGTTCGGACAAGTGGTGCAAAACCAGCCGGCTCTCGGGCAGACCGGGGTAATTCGAGACTGGGAAATCTGAGCTGAAGCAGCAGGCGCCGGCCAGCTACCTCCAGGCAAGCGGGCTGATTTATTGCCTGTATGAGCCGAAATTGCCACCCATGCTGGGCAGAGAGGGAGGACCAGATCCCCCGCCTGGAGATGCTCGTGGCAGATCAGAAACGCGTGCAAAAGAGATGCAGGGGAGCAGCTGGTGGCACCCCAGCCAGTCGTGCCTGGCTGGGCATGACCACTGCCCACGCGTGACGCCGTTTCCCAGCCAGAGCTCTGCAGGCAGAGCCCATGGCAGGAGCAGAAGAGCCCTGAAGCCTCACGATGACCAAAGGCACACAGAGGTGGTGGCCCTGAACGGGTTCGATGGCAGCAACGGGCTGTCTACGGGCACTGGCCCTCCGGGACTGGGCACGAGGCTGCATCCAGCTTGTTTGGATGCAGGCCTGGTGCTCCCGGCACAGCCGTCCCAGGAGCCAGGACACGGAGTGGGAGCCGTGGCATGTTCAGCTGGGGTGGGAGAAGAGGGACTGCCCCCACCAGTGCTGTGTACACCGGTGTCACAGCATGCCACCATGCCACCCTTGAGGCCCGGGGCTGCCCCATCACCCTCATCTCCTTGGCTGCACCCAGCCCAGACGGGGGATTGCTGTCCCTGCCAGCTGGAATTAATTCCCTGAGATGCTATATTGAATGCTTTAATAAAAACCTGATATATCACACCTCTTGTCTTCTCGCCATCGATTCATTTAGCAATTTTACCCAAAAAAGGCAATCAAGTCAGACTGGGCAGATTTATTCTGTGTGAGCTCCGAGCACATCTTTATTGCTCCCTGTACCCTGCCCTCGAGGTCCTCAGCAGCATTTTTCTCTTAATGTTTGTTCTATTATTTTACTAGGGATGAAGCTCCATTGATGGGCAGTAATTGCCTGGACTGCCCTGCCTTACCGTGATGAAGATTGGTACCTTACCGGCGGCTGCCTCCCGCTACCCTGCTCTGCTGTCCTTCCTCAGCAACATTATTGACTAGGAAAGTTCATTAACAAGACCCTTAATGACTGCAGCCGCGCCAGCCCGGCCCATGACGCTAACCTCTCCTGTGGTTTCCCTTGGTGCCTCCTTGCAGGAGAAGACGTTGCAAGATGTTTTCCGCATCTCCAGTGACGCATGGGTGCCCGAGCCACTTCTAAAAGCCTTCTGACTCCCCTCCTGGCAGATGCTGTCCGTGTGCGGGCTCTCATCCCTTACATCTTGGGGACTGACCCCTCCAGGCAGGCTGCGTTGGCCGGACAGTGCCGGGGAGGTCTAGGTGACCGGTGGTGGAGAGGTTCTGGGGAGTGCTGGGAGCATCCCCGAGGCCGCCTGGCACCCTGGCAGGGCTTCCCTGTGCCGGCACTTGCCCTGCTGCCTGCCATCCCAGTGCCGGCAGCCTTGGAGCCAGGCTGGCGCTGAGCCAAATGCGATGCCGGGATTAGGCACTGCCTCCTACAAATGAGCTGTTAATTATCATAATCTGGTAATTGAGAAAAATCTAATTATGCAAAGCTAATGGATTTAGAGCTGTACTACGGAGCACAGGCCAGGGGAGCGCAGCTGGGCAGGCCCCTCCCATCTTGGGTGTCCTCCCTGATCCCGACCTGTCCTCCCCGGCCCCACGGACACAGCTCTGCTCTGTGCCTCTGCTCTGCTCCCACTGCCAGAGAAGCAGGGATCTGCCCAGGTGGGTGTGTGCGTGGCGAGCCCAGTAGGGAAGGGCAATGCCTTTTACCAGACCAACTGGGATGGCTCAGAAAGGGAGGTGAGCTTTTGGGCACACAGGTGCTTCTCAGTGCTCATAAGCAACCATTGTCCTCAGCTCTGTTGCTGGCCTCATGGAAGATTTTACCTCTTTCTTCCACCTCGAGGGCAAGGGATGCTGAGCTGTGCCAGCCCCAGCACCGTGGCAAAGCTCCCGCCCTTGAGGCAGCACCACGCTGGAGAGCCTGGCAGTGTCCCCGCGGTGGCATACAGGTGGAACCAGCACCCGGTGCTCCCCTGGGGTCTGTCTTACTGCCCCCCAACTGCCCTGCCACCCGCCACACTCGCCGTGAGCTTGCAGGAGCCTGACCCCTTGCAGCTTTTGGGGAGCCCGAAGGAGGTGCTTGAGCCCTAGGGTGCAGGAGCTGTGACAAGAGTGACACTCCACACCTTGGCTCCTTGGCCAGCCCGACGTCTCGGAGCTATGCTCCCATGAGGCTGGTGCAGAGCTTGGGGTCCTACCACATGCCCATGGCCACAGAGCCGTTGTCCCCCAAAACACTCCTGCCCATGCACCTCTCCTGAGCCCCGGGGCCAGTGCAGCTCTGCCCAGGCAGCTCCTACATTCCCCGGGGAGCCCACGTTAAGTGCACAGAGATGGTGGAAGTGAACAGGGCTCCGGCTAATTGCCTGCACCCCCCGGGGACGGGCGGTGAGAGTCCTCCATCTTTCCAGGACATTTCAGCCTCTGGCTCCAGCTCCTGCAGGATGTGGCAATCGGCGAGCACGTCTGTGGTCTCAGCACTTAGTGAGCTCCCGGCTCGGGGCAGGGTGTGGGCAGTGCCACACCGCACCGGTCCCGCCCCGGCACTGCCGCACCGCATCACACCACACCGCATAGCACCGCACAGCCTGGCTGCCCGCCT